AGACATAGACTAGACATAGACTGACATAGACTAGACATAGACTAGACATAGACTAGACATAGACTAGACATAGACTAGACATAGACTAGACATAGACTAGACATAGACTAGACATAGACTAGACATAGACTAGACATAGACTAGACATAGACTAGACATAGACTAGACAAGACTAGACTAGACAGACATAGACTAGACATAGACTAGACATAGACTAGACATAGACTAGACATAGACTAGACATAGACTAGACATAGACTAGACATAGACTAGACATAGACTAGACATAGACTAGACATAGACTAGACATAGACTAGACATAGACTAGACATAGACTAGACATAGACTAGACATAGACTAGACATAGACTAGACATAGACTAGACATAGACTAGACATAGACTAGACAAGACTAGACATAGACTAGACATAGACTAGACATAGACTAGACATAGACTAGACATAGACTAGACAGACTAGACATAGACTAGACATAGACTAGACATATGATTTACTAATTGTTAAAATTTTTACCACCACTGTAAGCTTATATGTTAAAGCAAACACCGGAGAGTGAAAAAATAAAATCCCGTAAAGAAAACAACATTACAATTTCATGATGATTATTATTTTTGCGGTTGTTGTTGTTTTGGTTTTTGCTTTAACGCCTGAATTTTAAATAAAACAATATTTTGTTAGTATTGTTGTTGCAGTCTTTTTCATTATTATTTTTATTAAAGCCATTTTTAGTATATATTTACTACATGACCAATTGACTATATAAGTATAGAAAATATTATATTTATCCACACAAAATAACTAAAAAGCAAATAAAAAACAACACAAATGAAAATACCTGAAGGACAAATATGCAAATCTACTTTTATCAACAAGAACAACAAAAACACATTCACACCAACAAATAATAACAGCAACAACGCAAAACCAATAGTAGCAAAAAATCAAAAACCACCAACATCAACAAAATGGTCATCATCATCATTTCCACTAGATGTAGATATTTATTTGTACAGTATCTCTGTATATAGACACGGCTGCGGACACACTGTAGACAGTGTAAATGTATCGAAAATAGTACACTGCTCTTAAACAACAATACATACACATACATACATATTTAAAGTAAATTGATATACGCTGAGAGAAAAAAAACTTCAAAATAAAAATGAAAACTGCAAATAAAAACTATGAGAAAAACATTGATTTTGGCCATGTTAATGTTATGAAATAGCAAAACAACAACAATAAAAAAATTTGTTATTTTACAGTGCATTTCAGTTATTTGGTTAGAAAACTGAGAAAAACAAATAGAACAACAATTCGCTGTATGTAAAAAAAACTGTAAAAAACCTTAACTAAAGTGATAAATTAAATTGAGAAACTTTTTAAAATAAAGTTTGTTTGTTGTAGTTGTTGGTGTTTTCTTCTTCTTTTTTAAATTTTTTATTATTATTTTTATTTTAACGTTGAAGTGAAAATGACTTCAAAACAACCTTCACCTGGTAACACCATTTTACCAGCAAATACTTTTTCTCTCTCTCTCGCATAAAAACTTTCACACCGATACAAGGAAAGTTGTAAACAAATAACAAGAACACAACTAGAAGTTTAAAACAACAACAACTGAACTACTGCTAAAATTATTTAAAAAAAGGTCAAACAGCAATTATTATAAAAATTTATAACTACATGGAAATATTTAAAGTAGCATGGCCACCTTTTAATAGGGAATCACCAATAGTCTCGACTACAGAACACATTAAAAAAGATTAAATTTAATATTTTTGATTAATATTTAATAAATTACTTTAAAACTAACTCTCTTTACTTTCCTAAAAAGTTTTTAAACATATTTTAATTTTCTATCCTTAAATAACCTAAAAAATTAAATTTTTATTGATCATAAAATGGTCACATAATAAAACTTTTCCCTGTCAATGATTCCATTGTCCTTTAACTTTTGTCTCATTTCTTGTTGGTTTGATCTTGTTTTTATTAACAATTTAACTAAAACTATTGTTAATGAAGCTCATTTGAAAATCATGTCACATAAACTTACATATGTAGTTTTTATTCGTTCCATCATTAAATAAAAACTATGCATAAGAAATATGTTTTATTATTAATAATCATAATCGTCGTCATCATCATCAGTTGACAATTTATGTGTAGAAAACTTTATCCCCGATTCCCCCCTTGAATGGACAACACCACATCAGTTGTTTTGTGTGTTGCCTGGTTGGTTGGTTGTTTGATGAAAAAATAACTGACCATGTGTTTTAGGGCAATTAAATTTAATCATTGGGAAAGATAACTCGGCCACAGAATAACATTTTTTTATTATATTATACATTTATATGTATTTGATGATATGTTTGTCTGTATGTATGTCTTTGATAATGACTAAATTATGATACAACCAAAAATAATAAAAATAAAACAGAAACACACAGGAATATTTACACACACACATGATGGTAAATATAAGTATTATACCCTGCCAGAGTTAAAGGCAAAATTACTGATATTCTTTGTATTCCTCGTAATTATTAGCAAATAATTGTTTTAATCTAATTTTATACTAAGTTCAACTGACCAATTAAATATTTGCGAGAGTATTAATTACTAATAGATGACACAGTAATTAAACCTAATATTCTCAATGCGGGTTAACTTCTAAATTCTATCGGGCCAAGACACAGACCCCTTCAAGTACATACATACAAGCAAATACATACATTTATAATAATAACATGTCAAATAAAACCAAAACACAGACACCAATTTATGCCACATTCTCACATACACACAGCAGGGATGAATTTTTTTTTTTTTTAGATTTAAATAATGTTGGTACAATTTATGTTTTAAAAGTACTTTAATAGTACTTTAATTAATTTACGTTTTAATAATATAATGATGAATTTCAACGGACCGAAGTATGAATTTCGGTCTCTAATGGAAGCCAATCCGCTAATGTTGGACTATAGCCTCAACTTAAGACTAAACTATAGTCTTGAATGCAGAATGGACTATGGTCTCGACTTTTCTCTGGACTACAGTCTAGACTATAGACAGTACTACAGCAGCGACTGTAGCCTGTACTATGGTAACGACTACAGACTGCAATATACTAGACTATACTTGACCACAGTGTCGACTATAGATATTAATTAAATCCCCGATGATAGACTTTAACATGGTCTCGTTAATAGTCTGGACTATAGTTTCGACTGTAGACTGTACTATAGTAACGACTATAGACTGTACTATAGTAACGACTATAGGCTGCACAATTCTAAACTGGACTGTAGTCACTTCGACTTGACTATAGTGGCAAAATGGACTAGGGTCTCGACATTTCATTGGGCTATAGTCTCGACTATAAGAGTACGACAGCAACGATTGTAGAGTGTACTATGGAAATGACTATGACCGTGCCGACTATAATATGCATTAAAGCCTCGATGCTAGACTTTGGTATAGTCTTCACTGTAAACTGCAGTGTAGTCTCGGCTACGTGCTAGTTTGTTGTACCGAATACAGGTCGTACTCTAGTTAGTAGAGTTTAGTCAGACAGTTAGTTAGTAAGTCAGTTAGTTAGTTAGTAAGTTAGTTAGTAGTTAGTTAGTTAGTTAGTTAGTTAGTTAGTTAGTTAATTAATTAGTTAGTTAGTTAGTTAGTTAGTTAGTTAGTTAGTTAGTTAGTTAGTTAGTTAGTTAGTTAGTTAGTTAGTTTGTTGTTGTTTGTTTGTTTGTTGTTTTGTTTGTTTGTTTGTTTGTTTGTTTGTTTGTTTGTTTGTTTGTTTGTTTGTTTGTTTGTTTGTTTGTTTGTTTGTTTGTTTGTTTGTTTGTTTGTTTGTTTGTTTGTTGTTTTGTTTGTTTGTTTGTTTGTTTGTTTGTTTGTTTGTTTGTTTGTTTGTTTGTTTGTTTGTTTGTTTGTTTGTTTGTTTGTTGTTTGTTTGTTTGTTTGTTGTTGTTTGTTTGTTTGTTGTTTGTTTGTTGTTTGTTTGTTTGTTTGTTTGTTTGTTTGTTTGTTTGTTTGTTTGTTTGTTTGTTTGTTTGTTTGTTGTTTGTTTGTTTGTTTGTTTGTTTTTGTTTGTTTGTTAGTTTGTTTGTTAGTTTGTTAGTTTGTTAGTTTGTTAGTTTGTTAGTTGTTAGTAGTTAGTTAGTTAGTAGTTAGTTAGTTAGTTAGTTAGTTAGTTAGTTAGTTAGTTAGTAGTTAGTAGTTAGTTAGTTAGTAGTTATTTAGTTAGTTAGTAGTTAGTTAGTTAGTAGTAGTTAGTTAGTAGTAGTTAGTTAGTTAGTTAGTTAGTTAGTTAGTTAGTTAGTAGTAGTTAGTTAGTTAGTTAGTAGTTAGTTAGTTAGTTAGTTAGTTAGTAGTTAGTTAGTTAGTTAGTTAGTTAGTTAGTTAGTAGTTAGTTAGTTAGTTAGTTAGTTAGTAGTAGTTAGTTAGTTAGTTAGTTAGTTAGTTAGTTAGTAGTAGTTAGTTAGTTAGTTAGTTAGTTAGTTAGTTAGTTAGTAGTTAGTTAGTTAGTTAGTTAGTAGTTAGTTAGTTAGTTAGTTAGTTAGTTAGTTAGTTAGTTAGTTAGTTAGTTAGGTAGTTAGTTAGTTTGTTTGTTTGTTTTTTTGTTGTTTGTTGTTTGGCTATGTTACAATGTACCTTTTAAATAAAAGGTAACTTTTTGCTAAGTACTAATTTCCCTTAATATTAATTACATAATTACTCTTTCCTGTTGACCAAAAAATGTAAAAAAACAACAAATGGAAATCGGCAAATAAAAAACCTCTGTATAAATCAATTAACTTTTATTACATGTAAATAATCATAAACAACTGTTTGTTGTTGTTTTTTCACATTTATATATTTGATTATTTCAACACACTTTTTTGTTGTATGTAATTCTCCCTTTTACAACCCCACCATTACTATGAGTGATTATTTGATTTACGTTTAACAATTGTATTTTGTTCTTTATCTTTTCAGGCAGCACATCGAATCCCGATGCTAAACGTCTATACGACGATCTTCTCAGTAATTACAACAAATTAGTACGACCCGTTGTCAATGTACCGACGCTCTAACCGTACGTATCAAATTGAAATTATCGCAATTGATTGATGTCAATTTGAAAAATCAAATCATGACAACCAATTTGTGGGTGGAACAATCGTGGTACGATTATAAATTGCAATGGGAGCCAAAGGAATATGGTGGTGTTGAAATGTTGCATGTGCCCAGTGATCATATATGGCGACCGGATATTGTTTTATATAATAAGTGAGTTGAAATTGAAAGAAAGTTAATTGTAATTGTTTAAATTAAGTTCATGTAGCTACATATGCAAAAAGGAATTTGATGGTAAAATATGTTGTGTTTTCCATATTTTATCTTATAATATTCTGAAATTTATTAATAATGTTGCTAAAAACCAGCTGTTTTCTGTTAAATTACCAAACTTTTGAACAAAATGTTTCCAATATATCAGAACTATCCATCTTAGACATAACTACATATTTCTAAATAATTTTTCTTGTTTGTATTCTAAAACCCATAACAACCAAATGTCTTCAACACTCATGGCTCACGATTTGTGTTGCTGTCAAATAAACAGATCCCGTTTAGCAGGCCACACCATCTTTTTTAAAAGGCAACTGGCATTTTTAATTTCCTATTTATGTATGGATTCTGTATTCTGTTTTAAAATAAACAACAAAACTAGTTTTAGCCAAACAAAAATAACTAACTATTCCCTTCCCTCCTTCTTCAATGGATTTTTCATGTTCTTTGGAAAATATAAATGTTTGAATGTCTCTGTTTTGTTGTGTTTTTTTATTTGATGGTTTCGTTTTTATTTTCCCCCTCTCTCTCTCTCTGTCTTTCTTTATTTCCAGTGCTGATGGTAATTTCGAAGTAACTTTAGCTACAAAGGCCACCCTAAACTATACAGGACGTGTTGAATGGCGGCCACCTGCTATTTATAAAAGTTCTTGCGAAATTGATGTCGAATATTTTCCTTTCGATGAACAGACGTGTGTTATGAAATTTGGCAGTTGGACATATGATGGGTTTCAGGTAAGTTTCCTACTCATATTTTTCTTATTTTCTTTCACTTTAATTTATGTTTTCGAAAAAAAAAAAAGAACAAAAACTATTTAGTTTTCTTTTGCTTAAGTATTAAATGAAATGAGTAGTAAAGTAGTAAAATAAATTTACTTGCTAAAGATTTTTTTGTTGTTTACTTAAGTTTGTTATATTACGATAAAAATTAATGATCCTCTAAAAAAGGTTATATTTTAGGGAATATGTACATAGGTAGGTACGTACATATGTTATATGTTTGATAAGGATGCTAATAAAGCTAAATAACGTTTTTATTATTTAAATAAAGCAGATGCACAGAAGTCATGTTTGTATTATTGAAAAAGTTTATAGCTAACAAAAAAAAAAAAAAAACACATACAAAGCATGCATGAAATGAACTAAATTTGTCAAATTAGATTCCAACCCTGCATAGGAGATAAGAGACCTACTCAAAACAAACAAACACACAAACAAAGAAACGAGCAAACAAACACACAAACAAAGAAACGAACAGACTAACTAACTAACTAACTAACTAACTAACTAACTAACTAACTAACTAACTAACTAACTAACTAACTAACTAACTAACTAACTAACTAACTAACTAACTAACTAACTAACTAACTAACTAACTAACTAACTAAGTAACTAACTAACTAACTAACTAACTAACTAACTAACTAACTAACTAACTAACTAACTAACTAACTAACTAACTAACTAACTAACTAACTAACTAACTAACTAACTAACTAAGTAACTAACTAACTAAGTAACTAACTAACTAAGTAACTAACTAACTAACTAACTAACTAACTAACTACTACTAACTAACTAACTAACTAACTAACTAACTAACTAACTAACTAACTAACTAACTAACTAACTAACTAACTAACTAACTAACTAACTAACTAACTAACTAACTAACTACTACTAACTAACTAACTAACTAACTAACTAACTAACTAACTAACTAACTAACTAACTAACTAACTAACTAACTAACTAACTAACTAACTAACTAACTAACTAAGAAACTAACTAACTAACTAACTAACTAACTAACTAACTAACTAACTAACTAACTACTTAACTAACTAACTAATTAACTAACTAACAAACTAACTAATTAACTAACTAACAAACTAACTAACTAACTAACTAACTAACTAACTAACTAACTAACTAACTAACTAACTAACTAACTAACTAACTAACTAACTAACTAACTAAGTAACTAACTAACTAACTAACTAACTAACTAACTAACTAACTAACTAACTAACTAACTAACTAACTAACTAACTAAGTAACTAACTAACTAACTAACTAACTAACTAACTAACTAACTAACTAACTAACTAACTAACTAACTAACTAACTAACTAGCTAACTAACTAACTAACTAACTACTTAACTAACTAACTAATTAACTAACTAACTAATTAACTAACTTCTCCAAGCATTCATCCTGCAAAAACTTTCACTTCATAGTTAGCAGTTGAAATTTTCTTCAACAATGCACTTATCTTGCAAGCTTAAAAATATATAGTTAAAGAAGTACTTACTTCGATCGCTTGCTAATATGGAGTTAAGTAAGTAATTTTGTTTTTGAAAACTATTAATAATTTTCACACAAAAATAAATAAATAAATAAATAAATGTAAAAAATAAAGCTCGAAAATTAAATGTGAATGCTGAAAATAAGTACTTACAAAAGAAAGAACTTTCCAAAGATTTCCATTAAATAAAAATTTTACCGTAAAAATTGACTGCAAATTGCCCTTAAATAGATTATTTCTTTCACTATATATTCTCATATCATAAACTGTCAAATTTAGTCAAATTAAATTGTATTTAATAAATCCCCTTTGACAAGCTATCATCCTAATTGAATTTTAATTGGAAATCTCATTTAAAATCAAAATGAATATTTAAATTTCGAATACATACTATAAACAAAAACTTTATTAAATCTATAGCATTACACGCTCTTGCAAAAACCTTAACGCAGGTGTGTGTGGGTGTATAGTCTTACGGAACTGTTAATATTATGTAAAATTTTAAGTTATTTACTTAATAATTTATTTCTAATAAATATTCATGAGTCCTGCAACCACCTGTCCCCGCATACTATTCGCTTCAACAAACACACGCCTATTAACCACATTCACAAATTGCCAAAAATATCATTAACGGCATTTCAATGTATTTAACAGGCTTAAAGACAATCATGATTTTGCGTCATTATTTGTGCGCAGCAAATAATAATGATAATTTATTCCGCTATAAACAGCTTTAAAGCCTAAAAAAGCCAATTAAATATTGTGCTTTTAAGTTGATTTAAATTTTGTTAAGCGTCTGTCTCAGGTGTAATAGCATCTAGTACCTGTTCTAAATACACAAACATTTTGGATTTTCAAATTTTGTCTTCTTTTTAATCCCTAAAAGTATGTAAATGTTTTCTTGGCTTAGTTTCCAAGGAAATAGTTTATTAAACTAATTTCCTTTAATGCTTTCCAGTTACAATTTCCGTTTGTTAAAATATCAACTCAATTCATCTCATTTCATCATATGCCGGCTGCCAATACTTCGGCTCTTCGTTCATTTGAACAAAAAAGAGATTTTTTTTTTGCTCATTCGTTTATTTTATACTTTTGCAAGAAAATGATCTGTCGATGATGAGGTTGTTTGTGGAGCAGCAAACAGGCAGCATGATGAGCAGGTTGTTGATGTATTGTATAGTTTTTTTATAAAGATTTTTTGTTTGCCATTTTTCGTGTGTCTCTGAAGACGTTACTTTTAAAAGGACACAATTTGTTGTTGATGTTTTTGTGTGTGTGTAAAAACAAATTTGTTTAATGTATAGGAAAGCAGGAAAAACTAACTTTTTTTCCTTTGATTTAAACGTAAAAATAAACCAAAAAAAAACGAAAATTCCTCTATAAAGTATTACATTTTCCATCCCTGATAAATATGTATATGTCAATGACTTTTCATATATCTTAACATTTTAAGGGACAAATTGTATTTATGTACATGTGTGTGTATGTAACTTTTATGGTAATTCCCTTTTTGTGTTTTATTTCACTTTTTATATGACTTTTTATTTCTTCTTTACTTTGTTTTTGTAAAATCTTTTCATGTCGTGTTTTTATTATATTTCAGGTTGATTTACGCCATATTGATGAATTAAATGGTACAAATATTGTTGAAGTTGGTGTAGATTTATCAGAGTTTTATACATCCGTAGAATGGGATATTTTAGAAGTACCTGCAGTAAGGTAAGTTTTTTTTGAAAAGGAAATTTTTGTTTTTTTATTTTTATTTAAGGAAGTTAAATTAGATTATTTTTAAGAAAAGTTATAAAATATAAATTTAAAAATAGCTAATAATAGAAACTCACAAAGTTTTAAAAGCCAATATTGCCAAATAATATTGTTAGAATGCTGAAATTTACTTAAACAATACACTTAACACGCACGCTTACTAATAGTTAGTTAAATAAGTACTTACCTCGGCCGCTTGCGAATAAGCAGTTAAGTTTTTGAAAATAAAGCTTGAAAACAATATATCAAGGCTGAAAAGTTAATACTTACATATATAGTTATTTGTAAGTTATTACTAGACTCCTTATAAGTAATGCTGACGGTAGGTTTTTGAATATGTGCGAGTTTTCTATAAATGATAATTTCAACGAAGTTTTTTTATAAATTGAAACTGAAACTGAAATTAGAAAACTGACCGAAATTTTTATCAAATAAAAAATTTTACGAAATTTTTTCTAAAATATTAAAATGAACGAAAATTTTCAAAAAATTGAAAATTTATTGAAAATTTTCAGCAAAAGAAAAAATAAAAAAATATTTTCTATAAATCGAGAATTGACCGAAAATTTACCAAAAGGAATTTAACCGAAAATTTTCTGAAAATATAAATTTTATCAATTTTTTTTCTGAAAATTAAAAGAGACCGAAAATTTTTATATAAATAAAATATTGATTTAACAATTATAATGAGCGAAAAATTTAACGAATTTTTTTTATAAATAGAAAATTAACCGAAAATATTATTCTAATGAAAATATTTTTAATTTGAAAATTTATCAAAATTTTTCTTCAAATATAAATTTGAGCGAAAATTTCCTCAAAATTTTGGTTTTAATAGAATATTAATCGAAAATTCTTTAATTAAAAACTGACCGAATTTTTTCAATTAGAAATTTAAAAGAAGATTTTCCGGATTTTTTTCTTAACTGTAAAAGTGACCCAAAATTTTCCAAAAAATTTGAAAATTTATCGAAAATGTCCAAACCTTTTCTATAAATTAAAAATTTAAAATATTTTATTGTATTAAAAGAAAATTGACTGAAATTTTGATTTTAATAGAAAATTGACCGAAAATACCGAATAAATAATAAAACTGACCAAAACTTTTATCCAATTAAAATTTAACAGAAAATGTTTAACAGCAAAAAAAATTCCGGAATACTTTCTTAAATATAAAAGTGACCGAAAAATGTTTATAAATAGAAAATTGACTCAAAAAAAAATTGACCGAAAAGATTTTAAAAGTTTGAAAATGTTCTATATTTTAAAAAATTGATTTGATGCATGATGCAAGAAAAATGACCGAAAGTTTTCTTTAAAGAGAACATTTAAAAAAAACCAAAATATTTATAGTTTACTAGCTATACCCAGTGTGCTTCGCTACCCTCATCGTAATGGAATAAAATAAATATCATTATTGTAAATGTATATATATCTGCAATATCAAAAATTCCCCTTTTAGAGAACTCTTTAAGTTTGATTTTATGATTCTAGTCTCAATATTACAGAAAATTAAAAAAAACAGTTGAAGAACGAAAAAGTGCCTTTTTATATATTTTCATTAAATCAGGATGACGCATGTTTAATTTTCAACCAGAAACCAAAAAAATCGCATAAAGATTTTTATACAATCAGGAAGCTACATGTCCAATTTTATGTTTAGGTTCAATATTATAGAAAATTCGAAAAGTATTAGTAAAAGAACAAAAAAGTACCAGAGTATTCTTTTTCAATTTTCGTTCAATTGGGATATTGCGTGTTTAATTTTATGTTTATATATTCAATATTTTAGAGAGCTCTAAAAGTACCAGTACCAGTGAAGTACGAAAAAGTACCAAAAAACCTATTTTATTTAATTTCATGTTCCTAAGTTCAATATTATAGAAAATTCAAAAAGTACCAGAAAATATTCCAGTTTAAATTTTCATTCACTCTAGTCCCTGATTGCTTTTATAGATTCTAATTAACTCCGGGCTCCACATGCTTAATTTCATGTTTCTAGGATCAATATTATAAAAAACACAAAAAGTACGTTTGAAGAACGAAAAAATACCAAAAAGTGCCCTTTTATAGGTTCTCACTTAATGCAGGCTCTAAACGCTTAAGTTCATGTTTCTAGGTTCAATATTATAGAAAATTCAAAATGTACCTTTTAAAGAACGAAAAAGTACCAAAAAGTCCCCTTTTATAGGTCCTCACTTAATCCGGGCTCTACATGCTTAATTTCACGTTTCTAGGTTCAATATTATACAAAAATCCAAAAAGTACCTTTTGAAGAACGAAAAAGTTCCAAAAAGTCCCCTTTTATATGTTCTCACTTAATCCAGGCTCTACATACTTAATTTCATGTTTCTAGGTTCAATATTATAAAAAATTCAAAAAGTACCTTTTGATGAACGAAAAGTCCCCTTTTATAGATTCTCATTTACTCCGGGCTCCACATGCTTAATTTCATGTTTCTAGGTTAAATTTTATAGAAAACTCAAAAAGTACCAGTCGAAGGACGAAAAAGTACCAAAAAGTCCCCTTTTATAGATTCTCATTTACTCCGGGCTCTACATGCTTAATTTCACGTTTCTAGGTTCCATATTATACAAAATCCAAAAAGTACCTTTTGAAGAACGAAAAAGTACCAAAAAGTCCCCTTTTATAGATTCTCATTTACTCCGGGCTCTACATGCTTAATTTCATTTTTCTATGTTAAATTTTATAAAAAACTCAAAAAGTACCTTTTGTAGAACGAAAAAGTACCAAAAAGTCCGCTTTTATAGATTCTCATTTACTACGGGCTCTACATGCTTAATTTCATTTTTCTAGGTTAAATTTTATAGAAAACTCAAAAAGTACCTTTTGTAGAACGAAAGAGTACCAAAAAGTCCGCTTTAATAGATTCTCATTTACTCCGGGCTCTACATGCTTAATTTCATGTTTCTAGGTTAAATTTTATAGAAAACTCAAAAAGTACCAGTCGAAGGACGAAAGAGTACCAAAAAGTCCCCTATTATAGATTCTCATTTACTCTGGGCTCTGCATGCTTAATTTCATGTTTCTAGGTTAAATTTTATAGAAAACTCAAAAAGTACCAGTCGAAGGACGAAAAAGTACCAAAAAGTCCCCTATTATAGATTCTCATTTACTCTGGGCTCTGCATGCTTAATTTCATGTTTCTAGGTTAAATTTTATAGAAAACTCAAAAAGTACCAGTCGAAGGACGAAAAAGTACCAAAAAGTCCCCTATTATAGATTCTCATTTACTCTGGGCTCTGCATGCTTAATTTCATGTTTCTAGGTTCAATTTTATAGAAAACTCAAAAAGTACCAGTCGAAGGACGAAAAAGTACCAAAAGGTCCCCTATTATAGATTCTCATTTACTCTGGGCTCTACATGCTTAAATTCATGTTTCTAGGTTAAATTTTATAGAAAACTCAAAAAGTACCAGTCGAAAGACGAAAAAGTTCCAAAAAGTCCCCTTTTATAGATTCTCATTTACTCCGGTCTCGACATGCTTAATTTTATGTTTCTAGGTTAAATTTTATAGAAAACTCAAAAAGTACCAGTCGAAAGACGAAAAAGTACCAAAAAGTCCCCTTTTATAGATTCTCATTAACTAAGGCCTCCGCATGCTTAATTTCATGTTTCTAGGTTAAATGTTATAAAAAACTTAAAAAGTACCAGTCGAAGGACGAAAAAGTACCAAAAAGTTCCCTTTTATAGATTCTCATTTACTCCGGTCTCGACATGCTTAATTTCATGTTTCTAGGTTAAATTTTATAGAAAACTCAAAAAGTACCAGTCGAAGGACGAAAAAGTACCAAAAAGTCCCCTTTTATAGATTCTCATTTACTCCGGCCTCTACATGTTTAATTTCATGTTTCTAGGTTCAATATTAAAGAAAATTCAAAAAGTACCTTTTGAAGAACGAAAAAGTACCAAAAAGTCCCATTTTATAGATTCTCATTTACTCCGAGCTCTACATGCTTAATTTCATGTTTCTAGGTTTAATTTTAAAGAAAACTCAAAAAAGTACCTGTGTAAAACGAAAAAGTAGCGAAAAGTCCCTTTATTATTAATTTCATGTTTCTATTTCAATATCATAGAAAACTCAAGAAGGACCAGTTGGAGAATGAAAAGTACCAAAAAATATCACTTGGTACCGGGGTTCCAAATAACACCCCATTAGGATATTTAGTGTTTCTAAATTTAAAAATTTTATCTAAATTGGATCATTGTGGTTGAATAAAATCAAATTTCCCGTTTTTACCCCTTTTGGTACTTTTTTCCTCCCCATTAACGAAATAAAAATTCTATTCCAAAAAGTTGCAACATCGTAGTGGAAGCCCGTTATTATGTATTCATATGTATAAGTTAATAAACCAAAAACAATGTTTTATGAAAAGGTACCAAAAATAGGTACAATTTTAACCCCTTAAACGTCCGAATATCCAAAAAGTACTAAATTCATATTTTTATTTTTTCGTTAAGTTATGAAGGAGTCAAAAATATTTTTTGAATGTGCACTGGTTTAAAAGATACATGGGGTGCGAAAAAAGTACCAAAATACAGTTTTTACCCGTTTATTCCCTAAAGGGGCCGAATTTTAAAAAAGTACCAGACACCTGTCCGTTTATTTTTTAAATGAACGGCGATAAGCTTTAAACTGTTTTTGTATCTTTTCTAGTTTAGGAGATATAAGGTTACCGAATTTACGCGTTTTTACCCTTTTTTACCCCCTAAACATTCGAATTTCCAAAAATCCCGTCTTAGTGGATCTATTTGGCGGGAGACCAACCTCCTGTCCAAATTTCAGCTCTTTAGCTTCAACCGTTTAGGCTGTGCGATGATGAATCAGTCAGTGAATCAGTCAGTCAGTCAGTCAGTCAGTAACGTTAGAATTTTATATATATAGATAAAAAATTTTTTCAAATTGGAAAACTTACTGAATTTTTTCCTTGAA